AAGATGTCTCTTGTATGTTGGTGTTGTGAGAGTATATGTCTTGAGTTGTATATGTTGTCTCTTTCCTTGGGTGTATTATCTAAAAAGGAAATTTCTAAGGATTTGGGGATTTGTGGAAAGAGTTTTTTTTTTTTTTTTATTACAAGTTTTTCTTCATTTTATTACTAAATTAGAAAATTCAATATGAACATACTTCATGACTAATAGCTGATTGTTTTTTTAAAAATCAAGAACATTATTCTGTCTGTATAATTTGTGATATCTTTAATATGTAAAAAAACTACAAACTGGTCTAATAATCCAAGTTTATTGTTGATGATATATAAAAATTTATAAAAGAGCTCAAATTCTTCATCACCAATTTCAATTAGTACCAATTTTATAAATTTTAGTACTGTATCTGTTATACTATTCAATAAATTAAATTGAATTCTATAGTTCATAATCTACAACAAAATCCATCTAAAACAATTATCTGAAAATTTGCCAGAATTTGGTGAAAATTCGTATTTTGGTGTCAAATAATCTTTAAATATATTATCTATTTCTTTATTATCATTAACTTCAGATTCATCATTTTCAGAACTTGTATTATTCAATCTCAGATTTTACTGATTGTTGCTTAATAACATAATTCAACTTAATGAAATATTTCACATTTTGTATCAAAATATGAATTCTAATTTGTTAAATATTTGACTTTTGTTTTTCGATATCTATGCAAAAATTTTGTTTGTGGATTGACAAGTAATCTATTGCATTTATTACAGTTGCAATTAATTTTCACTTTTTTTAGATTTTTTTTTAAACTTTCATTAAATAAAGCTGAAATTGAATGCTTTTTTGCCATTCTGAAAATTGACAAATAGTAATATAAAGTGATAAAGTTGTGATTGATATATTAAATAGCTTTGAATTCTAATATAATACAAGCATAATATGATGAATAATATATAGCATAATATAGTTTATGATTTCAAATTATAATATAATATAATGAATAATCATATAATATTGTATACAATCCCAAATTATATTAAAATAATATAAATAATTTTATTTAAATATTTCTTTAATTTAATATTTTTTTGATATCTATAATGTTTGAACAAAAAAAATCTACTGAATACACTTTTTACAGAAAATAGTTACCTTTATCTTTGCAACCTTCACAACTTTCCTTGCCATTGCAAACTTCCTTCATATTAACTGTATCAAAAATGGCAATAGTTCATTCAATAATACCTAGTATTGAATCTTCAATTTCTACTATAGCTACTTAATTGCTTAGAAAAAGGCCATCTATTGTATTATCTGATATATTAAAATTTGAAGTTATGCGAATATTAATACTAGAAGTTAAATTGCTATTCAAAACTTAAACTAGGAAGAATATTGAAAAAGTTAGAATTAAATTATTGTCAAATTATTAAAATTTATCTTTATTAACCAAATAATTTATTTAGAAAATGAAGAATTACATGTATGGATTAAAAAACTAGAATGAGAAAATATTCTAATAAAATATATTAATAAGAAATTTTTCAAAGAATTAGAATAACAAAAAAATGAAATAGAAGATTTAAAAAAGAAAATTGATTAGCTCAAATCTGTAGAATTTGAACTTGATTCTATAGTTGTTGCAGAATCTAAAACAGCTTATATATCAGAATCTAAAAGTTTGTCAAGTTTAGGAAAGCATCAAAGAATTTAGCCTAGGAAATGTAGTAAAGAAACAAAATCAATAAAACTGATTATCAAAGATGAACTGAAACTAGAAGAAGTACAGTAAGAGCAGAAATGAAGTCCTTAATGAAAACTATTTTTAATGAATATAAACCAAGGATAGATGAAGTTTTTTCAAGTAATATGAATAAAAAAATATTATAAAAGTTAAACCTGAATTAATAAAATTCATAGCATCACATTTTAATTTCTCATAAAAGCAAATAAATGAATAGTTAGATACTTTATATTGCTATCAGAGAGAAAGATATCAAAAGGTAGAAACTGGAAAACTAGAAGTAGACAACTATTACCTACATGCAAATAGCCAGTTAAATAAAGTAAGATTAATAATATTTTGTATTTATACTACCTTCAAATATTAATTTTTAAAAAATAATTAAGAAAAAGGTATGAAGAATTAAAAGTGTACAGTTGCTTATTGAATGAAGATCAAAAAGAATTGCTAAATATCAGGATAAATTAACTAATATAATTAAAAAAACAAAGGTACATTCACCTGAAGAAAGTGTGACTAATTCGAAAAACTTTACTAAAAGAAGAATAAATGTATATGATTACAGTTAGCATTCAAAAGAGATATTTTTTGACAAAATATTTTATATCAAATAATTAAAATATTAATTATAATTACTTATAGTTAAAGGAGTTGTTGAAATATTTGAATAAATATTCGAAATCAATTCAAGCATTTTAGTTGACTTGTAAATGATATTATAATAATTCATATTTTTATGATGTAATGTCACCAGAAGGCTTGTTGAATTGTGTATACAGTTTGGAAAAAATTTTGAAATATGAAAAGAAAAAGAAATAGAAAAAGGAAAAAATCAGTATTTAAATTCAAAAGATGAAAAATTATTGAATATGAGGAATCATTAATGTATTCGAGGGTGAAAAACAAACTGGGAAAGTGCACAAATAGATAAAATTTAGAGGGCAGTCGGATTAGAAAAAAAAAGTAAAAAATCTTGAAAAGAATTCAGCAAAGTGAAATCAATTGGGATTAGTTTTAAAAGAGTTAAGTTAAGATTTTTAAAGCAATTGAAAAAGGAGAAAAAGGAGAAAGAGGAAAATAATAAATAATTTAGTTAATTGATTTTGTGATTTTTTAATAAATTTTATAAAATTTAAATTTTTTGTTACAATAATTTGTTGAATTTTTTACCACAGTATCAATTTTTTGTTAAATTTTTTTTCATAGTAATTTTTTTGTTAAATTTTTTGTTACAATATTAATTTTTTGTTAAAATTTTTAATATATATACAAAAAAAAATTTTTTTTGCCACAGTATGCAAAAATTTTTTTTTATTGCAGTATTGTTAAATTTTGTGTTGAATTTTTTTTTCACAATATATCAATATTTTTAATGCTGAGTAACAGCAATTATAAATAATTTGTTAATCTTTTTATTATTAATTTTTGCCAAATTTGACAATAATTTGATAGTTGAATGACATAATTTTGACTAGTGTAATAATCTGTATATAATAATATTAATAATTGAAAAAAACTTTATTTGAACTATTAATAGAATAATAAATTGTTTTCAAATTTGTATTTAGAGTTAATATTTGTTAAGATAAAAGATTTAACTTTGATAATATATTAAAAATATATGGTTTATTATATTTATAGTTTATTATAAATTTAATAAATATATATAATTAACTTAATAAAAAATAAAAATAAAATAATAATAATAATAATAATAATAATAATAATAATAATAATAATAATAATAATAATAGTATTAATAGTAGTATAATAATTTTTATTGTTTCAATTTATTATTACCTATTTAATATAATAGTTGATATTTTGAAAAAAAAAGTGAAAAAGAAAAAAATTATATAATTTTATCAAATATTTTGAATTGATTAACCTTTTTCTTCTTCTTTTGTTTCTAAAAAAGATTTACTGTACTTCTATAATATAGAGTAACTTTTTATGAATTCCGTTTTTTTAGATATACTTTATCAATTTTTTGATGATCTTTGTGTTTTATAAGTATACAGCAATTGCAGAGTCATCTGGAAAATTTTTTATCATGGATAATTCACATGAAATAAATAAATTTTTATTAGTTTATAAGGTCGAAACATTTTTATGAATAATATTTGTCATTAAACTAGAAAATTATAAAAATAAATAAATAAGATTTTCAAGTTTCGTTAATAAAAATAGTTCAATCCGATTACTGGGTTTTAAATGGTTGTCAACGTAGAAAACTTTGATAAAATTTCAATCTTTGCGATCATAAGAATTGGTAAAAAAAAAAAAAAAAAAAAAATTTTAATAAAACTTTTTATTATATAGATTATTACCCATGTGTTCGATTGTCAAACAATTTTAATACTGTAATAGGCTTATTATGGTGAGCATAATAATAATAATAATAAAAAATGAAAAGTTTGTTTATATAATTCTTTGATTAAATCATCGGCGCATTGTGGTAGTCAAATTTTATTTTCCATTTTAGGTTTAAAAGCGAGCGTCTCTGTGTTTTCTTAATAAACAAAACTTGATTTAATCCAATGCTTTTAGAAATTATAATCATAAAATTGAGCACACGCTTGGAGAATTTTCTGTGTTTGTCTTGTAATGAGTAAATAAAACGTAACAGATTATCGTGGCAAGGGAGTTTATGTAGGAGACAAGGTGCCTCACAACAAATTACTATTGAAAAGGTTTAATAACTGGAAGAATGGTGCGCACAAATCATTCGTATAGACACGTTCAGCATAATCCCCAAGGGTCGGTGCGACTCTCAATGCAATTCCCTGTTTTTCCATCAATTTGCAAGAATCACTCGATGTACTAAAATTGGATATTAGTATAACTGCGTTGACGCCAAGGCAGCAATATGTCCTAAGGCACCCTTCTCGTGATGAAGATAGCGCAGCAGATGGGTCACACCTGTTTGTAATACAGCGTGGCCTGCACTCACGTAATCCCAATTCAAAAATTCCAATTTTGGAAAAGGATATCAAGTGGATTTTTTTTTTTTTTTTAAGCTAAATTCTGATCAAACAAAGATATTTCATTGATGATGAGGTGCACAAATGATCAGGTACCATTGTTATGTATATTTTTTCATTGTTTGAGGTTGCGTTACCGCTCTTGGGTAACCCGAGATGCAAATCATTGACAAAAGTAGGTGAAACTCCAAAAATGTCTCCGTGACAGATATTATCGGTGTGTGTTTGCTAATTTTTCGTGACATGACGACGGAACCTGAGAGAGATTAACACGGCGAACGCTTCTTTTGGGTGTCATTCTTTAGATATCTATAAGGCAGACAAATAAATTATTAGGTCGATGTTGTGTAATATAGCATAAATTCTTTGGTAAATCCGACACTCGCGGGTGACTCGCAAAAAATATTACTTTAGGTTTTCATGTACAGTAAATCATTTTGATCTCTCGTGTATGTGCAAAATATACTTTATATAGATTTATTAACAAATTATTTGCAATGGCCGATTCGTGGGAAGACCAATTAAGAGAGTTTGAGGATTCATTATTTGGACAACAAAGACAGGACACGCGATATTTCATAGATTTCCTCGTGACGAGTTCGCGTGGACCTGAAAATGGCAGCAAGTTTACATCACTCCATCGTATGAGCCCTTTTTTTTGGGGTATGGTGGTACGACGGAAGAAGGTGCCATGTTGAAGAACAACATTATTCATGGGAACAAATGCCGAACTTCACATTTGCTTATTACGATTGGTCCAACCTTATTGTTTTCACATTTGACGGACCTTTGGTAATTTGTTTACTTGGCTCTTTGGAACCGGTGGTTGGTTAAATGGAAAAAGGATGAAAATTGATCACGCTTCATAGTACGAATTTGGAGAATAAGAAAATTCAAAGGCGTTGTGTTTGTTTCTCGCCGCTAATCGAATAAGAAGCTCCATCCACTCTCGAACATCCATTTCACTTCGATCATTCTACGTGTGAATCTCACCTTTTTTTTTTCTCATAATACCGCTCACACAACGTGCAATTTTTTAAAATATGCGCGTACGAATAATACATAAGAAATTTCTATGACCAGGGGAATAGCACAAAAAAATAAATTGAGTTAACAAATTATACGGAAATTGTTTATTCATGGTTTGACGAAGATCGAACTCGATTTCCCTCTTCCGTTTAGGTGCACTTTTTTTTAATTCTTGACCCCTAAATATCTTAAGCCTTTTGTTCTACCTTATGGAATAGTCTTCTCGGCTCGTAATACATAAAAAAAAAAAAATTTTTTTTTTTTTTTTTTTTTTTTTTTATAAATGAGTCGACGTGAAAAATTTCCAGACATTAGACGAGCGGGAACCTCTCCTTCATTCAGCTCTGACCAGATCGATAATTTTATTCCTACTAATCTTCCCCCGAAATCTCTTCCCTCAGGATATCCCTTTTGGTGTCTCCTTCACTAACAAAAGCTATCCTTCTTTATTTCTCCTATCCTCCGCAAATTTTGTCACCAAAGAGAAAGGTGTTCGGAGAAAACGGTCAGAGAAGCAAATATTAAAAACCCTATCTCCAGACTATCCTCACTTTTCAGAGAGCGAAGGAGTGGTGGTCTGTCCCGGTATCGGCGAATAATCGTCCGGGAAATTGTGTTTTGACCCATTCCAATTCACCACTTCCATCACAACAATCAGCCCAAATCATGCAGCAGTTGATGCCAGACAATGACATCGTCTCATTAAATGTGTCAAACGCAAACCATTATTTTGACCTCGTTCAAAATAAGAATTTATCTGATGGCATGTTCCCGGATAATTCCACAAATTCCTCTCTGAAAACCGCTTGGGGTGACAAAACTTCTCTTCAAATTCACCCCCCTCACATTCGTTCACCAAATCCTTATTCGTCGAGTCACATTACTCTCTTTGATCCCTCGAACTCGAAATCACTCGCCAATCCGATTATCCCATCAACCCTAAACTTGGAAGATTTAAGCTACGCTATCAACGATACCTCCCACCGAATTTCCCCTCACGCCAACATACAAACGAACCATCTTTCCGTCAATGCCTCTCCGACAATATCCGATCCCCAATCCTTATGTCTCAGCGACAATGGTACGTGCGTTAGCGAATGTTACACTTCGCCTCATATTTCGGACAAGAAAAGAGGTTATGAGTCCGAGAGTGCAACAGCGGATTCTCGCAAGCAGCGTAAATTGCACAGTGTTCACCAGGAACTTGCTAATTTGTTCAACGAATCCTTCTTTCCGATGTGCGACGTACCGCACCTCGAAGTCCCCGATCCCTCACCTGGCATTTCCCTAAAATTGGATCGTACAGAATTCTTCAGGCACATGAACAGGAGACTAGATTACATGGCCTTGTCCATAAAACGATCTCTTCGATATCCGTACGACTACGATGACCTCTCCAATTGGAGAAAGTTATATAAATTGTTCAAAGGAGAATGCCTGCAAGTTAAAAATCTGTTGGACGCCTCAGAATTTAGGTCCATGGGTTCATTGAAATCCGCGAGAGGACATCAGTTCACCCAGGAAGATGTCGATAAGGATTTGCTTAATTTGATACCAGGACACGCGATCCTGCAAAATCCTCATCCGCTAAAGGTCAAGAAAGATGGCAACGAGGGATTCAGGTCGATCACGCTCTTGCTGAGGTCTTCCGCTGGCGAAAGTTTTCACGAGGAGTTAAGAGTGAGAACCGTTCTCGAAATGGTAAATCACGATAAAAGCTTTAATAATTTTAAGAAACACACGCAATCGATTTCTCGACAAATTGATCAACTCATCTCCGTCGAGGTGTACCCAGATTATTTCCAGAAAGACACCTTGGAGATGCTAAGTCGTTTCAAGTGCCTGACACAAAATGCACCGGACTACCCGATACAAATGTGGCAAATTGAAGCCCTAAACACCGGAATCGATACCTCGAACATCGGCGTGCCACAATTCTTCATTTTGTCAAGACTATTAAAAGCGAGAATTCATGTTGTTCACCCGGATCCAAAGAATCCCTACTTTAAAGAACCGGTGCCGGGCGATAAGATTACCATAAATTCTAGAATTTTTCATTTGCTTTTATACAACCCGCAAACGTTCGGTGACAATTCACATGCGCTTCTTGATAATTATGGCGTTGCGCCTCTTGTTGAACCCGATGAAATTTTCCGAATACCAGACGTCGGGAGGATCACCGGTGATGTTTGTGGCTTGTATTAATTCTATACGTATATATTCGTTGGTCGCTCTTATGCATAGTATGGATTCCCTCCTTATTCTTCTTTTTCTCTAAGATTTTATTATTATTATTATTTTTATTTTTTT